TGCTCAGGTAAGGGAATCTCAAGTATAACACGGTACATGCTAACCATTGCTCAGGTAAGGGAACCTCAAGTGTAACACTGTACATGCTAACCAATGCTCGGGTAAGGGAACCTCAAGTGTAACACTGTACATGCTAACCAATGCTCAGGTAAGGGAATCTCAAGTGTAACACATACATGCTAACCAATGCTCAGTTAAGGGAATCTCATGTGTAACACAGTACATGCTAACCAATGATCAGGTAAGGGATTCTCAAGTATAACACTATACACGCCAATGAATGCTCATATATGGGAAAAGCTCAGTAGTGGAACCCTGCCTAGCATGGTGCACAAGGTTCGAGGTTCAACCCCAGAATCATAAAAAAATAAAATAAAAACCTGAGTTTACCAACAAGCTAGTCATTTCTTCTGAAGAGGATCTGAAGAGCTAACTTCTCTTTCTTTCCTCCCTCAATTAAAACAAAGTAACTACAACAATGTCCTGCCTATTTTGTCAGCCTTTCATATACATCAACGGCAGTCATAAGAACCACAGATGTGCATCACTAGAAAAGTTATCGTGAGCTTGGGTTGTAACACTACTCCTCTCTGTTAAAAGTCCATGTTTAAGCTTCAAGCAGTGATCTTCTACCTCTTCTTCCTTGTATCATTAGTCACGATGTGAAGATGAACACATCTGTAATTGGAATGCAACTTGTCATTAATTCGACCTTTTCCAGTAGTGGGATTTTGTTTTGTTTTGTTTTGTTTTTTGTTTACCTCATGGAAAGCTCTTAAGTCAACAATATTAATGCTGGTATGGTGATGTACACCTGCAATGCCAATACTTGAAAGACTGAGGCAGAGGGACCTCAAGTTTCAGGACCAGTTCCAGGTTAGTCTGGGCTACATAGCAAGGCTCTGTCACAAAAAACAACAAAATGGAATTCCTATTTTAGAACTTAAAAAAAAAAAATCAATCCTTTAAATTTTTTTGTTGTTGTTGCTTTTTGTTGTTGTTGCTTTTGGGGGGGTTATTTATTGATTTATTTTTATTTTTGTTGTTTTTCCAGACATGGTTTTGCTATGTAGCTCTTGCCACTCTGGACCAGACTAGCCTTGAGTTCGGAGATCTACCTAACCCTACCTCCTGAGTACTAGGATTAAAGGTGTGCACCACCACCACCTGGCAGTCCCTTAAAATCTTTTGTTTGTTTTATTTTGTTTTTTCAAGAATGAGTTTCTCTATGTAACAGCCCTAGCTGTTCTGGAATTCTCTTGGTAAACTAGGCTGCCTCAAACTCACAGAGATCTGCCTGCCTCTGCCTTCTGAGTGCTGTCATTAAAGGCATGCACCACCACTGCCCAGCTTTGAGCTATCACTGCCTGACTGTGTAAGATTTTACAACCTTAAAATCTTATAGAAAACAAATACATCAGAATAGTCAGAAAAGTTCTAGGTAGAAAAGGGACTAAGCCTACCAGTCACTCAAGCTATTCTAAAACTGCAGCAAACAATACAGTAATGCCACAAGAACAGAGTTCTGGAAAGGACTATAGAATTCAGGGTATCTTAGTCAAGGTTTTCACTGCAGTGTTTACACACCATGACCAAAAGCAACTTAGGAAATGGTTTATCTGGCTTACAGGTTACAGTCCATCAAGGAGAAGCCAAAGCAGGAACTTGGGAACAAGAACTTGGGGACAGGAACTGAAGCAGAGACCATGGAGGAATACTGCTTACTGGTTTACTCCCCATGCTTTAGTGAGTCTCCTTATATAACACAGAACCATCTGCCAAGGGGTGGCACTACCCACAGGTGGGCCCTCTCATATCAACCATACACTTTCTAGTTCCCTCTTCCCAAATGACCCTGGTTTATACGAAGCTGACAAAAAACCAGGACAAGCTGTCTTATGCATCTTTCATGTCACTGAGAAATAATAAAGTATTTTGGGCCAGAGACATGGTTCAGCAATTAAATGCACAGATTTCTTACAGAGGACCCAGTTTCAATTCCCAACACCTATATGATGGTTCAAAACCTTCTACAATCCCAATACCAGGGGATCCCATGCCCTCTCTTGCCTCTATGGGCATCAGGTATATACATGGTGCACAAACATGCATGCAAGCAAAAACATATAAAATGAAAAAAAAATAATGAAAAATAAAGATAGTATTGGGAAAATGAAATAATCTTACACTAATGTCTTCCCTACTTCATACTCCAAAATAAATTCCAAATATATCATTAGAAAAACTTCTAGTATAAAAAAGAATATATGGAGCCTGCAAGATGATTCAGTGGGTAAAGGCGCCTGCTGCCAAGCCTGACAACTTAAGTTTGGTCAAGGGAAACAAAGAACTGACTCCCCAAGCTGTCCAGTGACAAACACTGATGCACTGTGGCACTTACCTACTCACACACATACACACATGTATCCAAAATAAAGGGTTAAAAATTTTTATAAATATCAAAGATAATCAGTTGATGAAACACTTGCCTTACAAGCATGAGGACCTGAATTCAATTCCTAAAACACACTTAGAAGCTAGTGATAAACACTTGCAATCCCAGTTTTAGAGAGATAGAAACAGAAGGCTCCCTGGAGCTTGCTCACTAGTCAGTCTAACTGGAGAGATTCAGAACAATGAGAAACCATCTTAAAGGAGACAGGTGGCATCCTTTAAAGATTTCATGATTCCTGAGGATGACATCCAAGTTTATCCTTCATCTTCCACATGCCCTCTTACACATGCATACATACCTGTATCTAAATAATTACTTGCATGTGAAACTGCATAATATATAGCCCACACCAAAATTAAAAATCCAGTAGCTTATCTTTTCCATCAAATTAAAAAAAAAGACTATCCTAGTGCTTTACAGTCTTGTTTGGCTACCCACGTAGCCAATAAAAACAATACTGTGCTTCTTTTCAGTGGTACATCTGTTAGTTCCATGGTTAGGAGAACACACACTGCTCTTCCAGAGAGCCCAAGTTTTATTTCCAGCAACTGTATCAGGTAGCTCAAAACCACTGGCAACTCCAGCTATAGGTGGAATCAGATGCTTCTAGACTCTGAACATCTAGGCATCTGAACTGCAGGCATCTGTACTGATGTGCAAATACCCACACACACACATAATTTTTAAAAATCCAATACAAAAAAAAAAGAGCAGAGGACATAAATCAAAGAAAAGGAAGTATGATTTCTAGACTCAGGTGTGGTAGTATATGTACATGAAAGAGTCAATCAGAGAAAGACTAAAATGGAGCAAACACAAGAAACTTACTTAAATTCAACAGTAGCTACTATTATCTTCTAACTGTAGAGGAGTCTTCACAGCCCCTCCATCATCCCACTCCATTTTCCCCTCGCTTACTTTGGCATTGGCTGTATCGAAAATAGTTTCAATGAGTAAGATATCCACGCCACCATCCAGCAGTCCTTTGGCCTGCTCCTGGTATGCTTCAACAAGCTCATCAAATGCTGCAGAAAACAAATCACAGTCAGCGCATCAGAAACCCACACCTTCTGAATGACACCAGGGTATGTCAAGCTCAAGGTTGGCACCTGTAATCAATGATGGTTTACAATGCAATTGCTTAAGGACAACACTTTGTGTAAAAACCAAACACAGTGGTAGGAAATAATCAACAAAGTTATCCTAAAATTCTGCCATGTGCCCCCCACTTCTCACATGAGCTATGAGTGGGAAGATACATTAAGTGGTTAACTGTGTACTTTATTCTCAACATCTTTTAAATAAAAACATCAATCACTCTTTCCATAAATCATCTTAACCCATTAAGAGACAAATCTAAGAAACAGGATTTAGGGGCTGGAGAGATGGCTCAGCAGTTAAGAGTACTTGCCACTCTTCCAGAGGACCAGAGAGAACCCAGCACCCATTGCCTATATAGGCTTCAACTGCCTATAATTCCGATTCCAGATGACTCAATACCCCATCTGGATTTTATAGACGCACGCACACACAAATAAAAAAATACAACATAATAACATAAATGAGATCTGGAAATATCACAGGCTAAATCTATAATAAAAAGTTATAGATTTCACTGCCTCCCTCTCCAGTTCAGAAAAGCCACGTCTCCAGTAGACATTTTGTTTTGTTTTGCTTTTCGAGACAGGGTTTCTCTGTAGCTTTGGAGCCTGTCCTGGAACTAGCTCTTGTAGACCAGACTGGCCTCGAACTCACCGAGATCTGCCTGCCTCTGCCTGGGATTAAAGGCGTGCACCACCACCGCCCAGCCAGAAGACAATTTTTGACTGAACCAATAGTGTTCAACAACTACTAGATCAATTCTTTAGAAGTGTCCTGTATTGTCTATTTCCAATGAGAAGTCATTTGTCTTCTCACTTTATCTCCCAACAAAAAAGAAAAAATGCCTAGCTATTTAAGAGGTACCTACTACACTTGCTATGTAGTTATAGCTGACTTCATACAGTTTGGGAACGGGCTCCCCACTGTCATATCTAGTCCAAAGAACACAGACCACACATCAACTTGGGAAGCTCCACTCTTAGTAAAGAAGCATGGTAGCACAGCATGCACAATTCTGTAAATGAAATCCCATAAGCTGGACTCACCTAGACCTCACAAAAATCTATTACCACAAATGGTAAAATTAGCTCTAGGGCTTTAAATCTTTATACAGTATTACTGCTCACAGATTTACCTACACTCTTAATTTATTAAATCTTAGCAAGTTTTGTAAAACTTTAAGACAATTCTGAGCCCTCTCAGTCTCAGCAGTAATGCTCCCCCATTCCCCCCTGGGAACCAAGGACCTAAGAGCTACACATACACGTATGTTCTCCAGAAATTGGGGCAAGATAACCTTTAAGATGTTGACTCAGTTCCTGAACAATTACCCACACATGTATGTTTTGACTCAGCCCCTGGGAAACAGGGTCAAAGTGACCTCTTAACTCATCTGATCTGGCAACCGCTCTCCAGCCAATTATTGGTAATAGCCCTTTTGAATAAGCCAATCATAATAGTCAAAGAACAACCCCTAGACAGTCCTTTGCTTCTGTAGCTTTTTTCCTTTAAAAGTAGCCTGTACCAGCTATTCAGGATCTTTCTGGCTTCCCGAATGCTGGAAGACCCTGTCATGACAGAATTAATAAAATCCTCATGCTTTTACATCAGCTGTGGTGTGAGAGATGGTCTCTTGGGGCAACTCCTCCTTGGTGATTGGACTCTAGTTTATCCATAGTTTATCCATAGTAATTTCTATGTATAGGGCTGGTATGTTTAAATAATTTGGACTGCTTTCTGAAATTAAAAGATGATACAAACTGGATATGATGGCTCACACCTGTAATTCCCTCACTCAGGAGATGAAAAGACTGCCACAAATTTGAGAATAGCATGGGCTAGACAGAGTTCTAGGTTGCCTAGTCTGAACTACTATGTCAGATCCTGTCTTTAAAAAAAAAAGATTAAAAACATAAATTAGTGTAGGGCCCATGGCTCTACCCCTGCTCCTGGGGTTCATCTTGAGGATAGTTTCTAGTCAGCCAGCTAAAACATTCTGTTTGTTCCTGTGCTTCCTCTGCCCCACCTGGTGATTAGCTGTAGGGCATTGTTTACTCCATCTTGGGTGTGGCAATTTCCCACCTGCCTGGGGGGAATTTCTTGTGCAGCTGCTAGGATTTCCCCAAGGTTGAGGCATTCGGCTGTGGTGGCATTTAGCTGATCTCCCTTTGAATGACCCAGGTCTCTTGTGTGTTCTTTCAATCTCCAGGCCCTTGCCCAGTACAGTGGCACACAGTGGGGCACATGGTACAGTGGCACACGAACTGTACCGAGAGGGTAGTACAGGAGAAGGTGTTACAAATTAGTGCTGGAGAGATGGCTCAGTGGTGAAGAGCACTGCTGCTCTTTCAGAGGTCCTGAGTTCAATTCCCAGCAACCACACGGTGGCTCACAAGCACCCGTAATGAGATCTGGTGCTCCCTTCTGGCCTGCAAGGACACAAGCAGGTAGAACACTGTATACATAATACATAAATCTTAAAATTTAAAAAAAAATTAAAAATTGAAGGATAAATAGAGGGAGAAACAACATAGCAGTTAATTTGTAATAGACCAGGAGCTGATATCGAAATTTGCTTAATGTCTTCCTTTTAAGTATTATTTCAGCTAGTTTTACAGAAAGAACTGACACATCACCATGAACAACTGAAAGCAAACTCGAACAAGAACAGCAGCTAACTTTAGAGTATTTCAGGCACTGTTGTAAGCCCTGACACAGACACTGTCACAATTCTGAGGTCTCACTTTGTAGACTTGTAGATTGCTAAAGCACTTCCCAAAGGTCCATGATCTACAGTATGTAATGAATACTCACTGACATTCCTATAATCTGGCCTTTCCACAGATGGGGAGACAGAAAGTGTCTTATTAGTAGGGCCCAGAGCTCCAGCCACAAACCTCTTGATTCCTTTGGGAAAAGAAAAAAGCAAAAGGTGTGAAATCACAATCTGCTCAAACTTTTTGGTATAAATCCTCAAACTCAAGGATCAAGTGCAGTAACACAAACCTATAATCTCAGTTCTAAGGAGTCAGAAGCAAGTCTGTGAGTTGGAAATTGACCTGGGTTATCGACTAGGAATCCATCTCAAAATAAAATAAAAAGGGTCGGAACTGGGACTTAGTGGTAAAGTGCTTGCTTACCACACCTGAGGCACTCATCCTGGTTCAACTCCCTCAGTAAAGAAAAAAGAAGGGGGTGAGGGAGACTTTTCCTTAACTATAAGGCTATAATCCTCTATAGCTCAGAAATCTAAAAAGTCCTAAAAACCTAATTTTTCAAAATTCTTTTGAAACAAAACTACTGAACTAATAAAAGGCTATTTAATTTTTATGTCACTGAGATGACAGATTCTCTTAACATATTTGTTCATGACTAGGAAAAATCACACAATAAAAGGGATATATACATATTATTGCCATTAACAATTCAAAAGAACTCTCAAACTTCAAATCCATGTATTTCTGCATGCACCCTTTCTATTACAGCTGTGTGTTGGCATACTTTCTCCCTATTCTTAATAAGAACCCAAAGTCTTGAATTTAACAAGGTGCCTCACATTAGAACATAATGTGAAATGTTTTATGGTACTACACTGCAGGCCTTTCACTAAGTAAATACTAAATCAGAGTTAACAATTAAAAAGCCTGAAATTCCAGTATGAAGCAGAATGAATATTGCTCTAGTGAGTTTAAACACACACACACACACACACACACACACACACACACAAAATCTTGCCTCGGGGCTAGAGAGAGGATTCAATGGTTAAAAGGATTGGCTATTCTTCCAGAGGATCTGTTTTCAATTCCCAGAACATGGAGCTCTCAACTGTCTATAATTCTAGTTCCAGGTAGCTTGGCACACTCGCACAGAAATATATGCAGGCATCAATGCATATAAAATAAAGATAAATAAATCATTTTTAAAAATCTTGCCTCTAGGCCAGAAGTAAACTTGTTTCTATAGCAGTCTAGGAAGTTGTGCTCATATACATATCAGAGAAAAGCCAGGAGTCCTAGAACTCATTACTTGGTGATTTTAGTAGCATAATCTGGACTGTACTTTACAATACACAGGAGAAGACTGCCCACTAGCTAATGATGGCTAGGCATGACAGCATACTTCTGTAATTTTAGCATGTGGGAGGTAGAGGCAGGAGGATCAAGAGTTCAAGGTCCTCCTCTGCCAATACTGGTTGAGATCAGCCTTGGGCTCTAAGCTTGCCTCAAAACAAACAGAGAAAAAAAGGAATTATTTTCAGCCTATAAAAAGATTCTTTGTCTTTCCCAGTGCTGAATAATAGTGTTGATAGGTACCACCTCTCTGTTGGGGTAATAGGCTCTGCAAGTCCATGAACTTAACATTATCTCTCAGAAACACATTTCCTTGTAAACTGCTTTGGTCTTTTTCATTAGTATGCTGTCAGTTACTTCCTAACAATTTCTTCCCATCATTCCTGCTGGCAATGACTGTACACTTCCAAATCTTTCAGGGCTCACTTTATTTCTTCTATTGCTTTCCCTGTCTCAAAGCCTCCCACTAGCAGCGTTCTGATGGCAGCTAGCCAGGAGGCTGGTTATTTCAAGAACCACTTTAGTCCCAGCAAGATGGAATCAAATGCTACATCCTTCTGTCAGCCAGGAAGAGCAATCGGGTCATCAGTAGTCTTCATGAGAAAATGCTCAAAAGGTAATCACTGCTTAAGTAAGTCAGACATGGAGAAGAAGCTTTTGAAGGATAAGATCAAATACTCAAATAATAATCAAAGTCAAACCAGCCAGTTGCTATTTAATAACCCAGTGATGTGCCTAGCTACCAAGTCAGGCTATGAGCATCATCAGGGTAAAACAGAAAACCCTGAACTGGAAGTCCACAGGGACAATGTCACCTCAGAGACATTGAATGCTTTTCTATGGTACTATGGGAAGTATCCTGCAAACAAGTAGATTATCTGCTCCCAAGCCAAACATGATGTGAAGGAAAACTGCACATCAGAGTTGAGAACATCAAAGAACTTGTGTGTGTGCAACAAAGAAAGAGAATGTCCCTTACCTGTCTGCAGAGTTATCTCCTCAGCAGCTCTTCTGGCCACATCTGCAGAGCACTTGTTCATCCGGTAGGCCTAACATATCAACCACTGAAGTTAGTCTGTCCTGCTTTTCTTCCATTCAGCAAGGTATCTATAACTAGCTAATTCTTAGCTGAACTCATCAAGGTATTAGCATTAACTAATGAGGTCTGAGTGAAACCATACACTGTAAGGCTGATATCTGCACATACACCAGGTCAAATAAGTTGATACAGCAAATAGTCCACAAATCGATAAAATATTCTAACTCAGGTGTGGTGGCCTATAATCTTAGCACTGGGGAAGCTAAGAGGGTGAATTTAAAAGTGTGCCAAGGCTATATAATGAGATACTGTCTTGAAAGAAAATAAGAAAAAAGTATTCAAATGGGAAAAGCAACATTCGAGAGAGGAAACCTAAGATTAAGAGTGTGTCAGCCACTGCAGTTCTCATGGCAGATTTCCTTGGCCCTGATTTTATTACTAGATGATGATGGAAAAAAAGCAGTTCTAAACTTTCTATACATTATTAACACCTTAAAAATCCTGTCAGTAGTGGTGGCACATGCCTTTAATCCCAACACTCGGGGGTGGGGAGGCAGAGGCAGGCAGATCTCTGAGTTCAAGGACAGCCTGGTGTACGTGAGCTCCAGAACTACACAGAGACACCCTGTCTCTGGGAGAAAAAAAAATATGATATAGCAGTCTAGAGAGATAGACCAAGAATTAAGAACACTGGGTGCTCTTCCAGAGGACCTGAGTTCAATTCCCAGCATGCACATGGTAGTTTATAATCACCTGCTAATCCAATTCCAGGAGACCCAATACCCTCTTCTGGCACCAAGCACACTCATGAGTGCACAGATATATATGCAAACAAAATAATTTTTTCATCTGAAAACTACTCACATATGCAAAGCAGTCTACAAGTGATGGGACCCTTCAGAAGCTGTTCACACATCAACTAATGTTCCTAGATTTGTGATCTGCATCAAGTCCTTTAACCACCTTGGCACCTCAAATTGTGCAACTAACAAACCAGAATATCCTGAAAACAGGATTTGGTGCACTGTGGCTTATAGCCCATCTAGTTGTCCATTTCTGCACTGGAACAGCGACAGCTATTTGTTTACATGTGCAGGTTCACAGTAAGTGATCCTGCCTTTACCAAAGGATATACTGCTATTTGACTACTACTTGCCCCAAAAGGCCAGTTGCAATGAATGGGCTGCTACCCTAATAAGCAGAAGAGGTTCCAGCCATGATCCCTGAGAATTAGGATTAGAATGACAGCCACTTCAAGCAGTTCTGTCACTAGCAATCTCCAGTGCAAATACTAATAAGCGTATTAGACAGAAAAGTCTTACCAAGTGTTCAAGGCCATAGTCAGCTTGGGCAATACAAGTGCTGCTGAAAGTGTTTGTTTCAATGATATCTGCTCCAGCCAGCAAGTATTCCTGTAACAAGATATAGTAAGTCAGCTACTGTGAACTTAAGAGTCCATGGCCCCAATAATAAACACATCTTTTCATTTTGTCACCAAATATAAAAGACAATACCCTCAAGACTAGAGATGCAAGCAGGTAGAAGGATTTCACAGAAAGGCATATGTAAGAACAGAACATAAATTCAAACAAAAATAATACATTAAGTTATGTAAGTTTAGTTACATTCCTTAAATTCTGATTTTTTGTTTTGGTTTCTGGAGTTTTGTTATTGCTGCTATTTTTAAGGGAAAAAAATATACAAACTTCAAGGGGCAGTGGCTAGGCAGTAACTAGAATCCTGCCTGTCAAGTTCCTTAAATTTTCTGAGTATTGAACTCCTCATCTAAAGTATTAAAACCATTTTCTGCCAACAGTTAAGTCTATACGATAATATCAGCCAGGATTTCAAGTGGCTGGCACACCCTGGGCACTCAGGAGCCACCAGCTCTGTTCTCCACATCTCGGTTCTTTAACATAACTGATATGCACTGAGAACTGCACCGCCTCTAAGAAATCAAATTGTGAGTATGTTTTTTTTGGTCTGCACCTCCTACTCCTGTATCTGCAACCTACCTGGAACACTGAGAACTTGGTACCATACCACTCTGCCTGTTTAACCTGCCTTCCTAGTTTTTCTGTCTGGACAACATCTCCATCTCAAGTCTGACCCAGTCTGGACTCCTTTATTTTCTAACAGTTAACTCAGTCTTTCCTAAGCTGATGAATAATGTTTGCAGAACTGAAAATGAAAGCCAAGGAGCACATTTATCATAGCGGTCAGCAAGAGAGAGATAACTAAAGCAACTTTATTACATGTCATATGGCACGTAAAAAGTCACTTGTATGTCTATGACATGGGGAGGACACCAAAGCACCACTGAATAGGAAAGCACAATGTGTAAAGCATATTGCTATGGTCTGAAAGCAAAATGTACTTAGACTCATGTTTAAGGACTTGGTCCCAACTGGTAGCACTGTTTCAGAAGGTTGCAGAACCCTTAGGAAGTGGGCCAACCTGGAGGAAGAAGGGTACTACCCAGTCTCTCTGCTCCCTGATCAGCACACGGTAACATGACCAATGCCATGTAACAAGCAACTGCTCCCTCCACCATAAACACTACCATACCTTTCTGTACTGTACAATGCACTGTACCCTCTCTTTGAGCCAAAATAAATCCGTTACTTCTGTCAGCTATTCTAGCAGAGATAATTAACATATAAATACAAAACCACTAAGTCTACTCACATAATATGCAGACATAAGTGTGTAACAAAAACAAGAAGATAAGTATCAACTGATAGTAGCTATTAGGGGAAGGTAGCAATTTATAGTAGTAGTCAAATAGGAATTTATTCTTATTTTAAACAGCAAGAAAGGGGACTGAAAGTGATTCTAAGGCTAAGAGCTGACTGTTCCTCCAAAGGACCCAGTTTCATTTCCAGCGCTCATATGGGTAGCTCATAACCATATGTAACTACAATTTTAGGAGATCAGACACCCTCTCTCTTACAGCCTGCACAGGCCCCAGGCATGCATACAGTATAGACATACATGCAGGCAAAACACCGAATGTGCAATTATATATATTATATATGTATGTATATATAACTATATTATAATATAAATATATATTATATTATACATATAAAATAATGTATCTACCTATATTTTTAACTAAACAACCTTAAGGATACCTCTTAATGCCATACTGAAATTTAAAATATGAATCTTGGCAGGGAGGGAGAGACATGACCCTCAGACCTTTGTGTACTGACCAGATGAACATTTCTGTTTTCTCTTGCTACACTTCACTATGTGAGAATATGATAGGAAGAATGGTACATGGTAAGCAGAGGGGCCCTCAGCAGACACCAGAGTTATGGTATCACAATGATGTACTTCTTACTGCTACAAACTGTTAAGAAATAAATGCTGGCACCTGGAGAAATGGCTCATCAGTTAGAGAGCACCAGGTGCCCTTCCAGGAGACCCAGGTTCGATTACCAATACCCAAATGGCAGTTCATAATCATCTAAAACTCCTAGAGGCAGTTCTAGAGAGTCTGATACCTACTTTTGGTTTCCCTGGGCACCAGTCACACACATGATGCACATACATAAATGCAGTCAAAGCACTCACACATATAAATCAAGATAGATAGGTAGACAGATAGACAGACAGATAGACAGACAGGAATGTTGTTGCTTGAGTCATCTAATCTGAGAATTTCTATAGCAACACAAACTTAGACACCATCTTTCAGTGTATCTTCACAGGGTATTAATAGGCAAACATGAGACTCCTAATTTGTTCCAGGACTTATGGTTTCTCAATTAAAGTTTAAATGCTACAAAGGCCAAAACAAAAAAACCAATCTCCCTCTGTCATCTGCTTATCCTAACTGAGCAACTAACACAGTGTGTAGCTTTTACTTGGTGTGAAATACCTGCTTTTCCAATAAATCACATCCTTTTTCCATATTCTCTAGAGAACAAGTCATGACAGTCTGAGCTTGACACATGAAATAACCTGAACGAGTGCTTACGAGCTAGAAATAACTCACCTTATGAATTTGGTAAATAATATCAGGTTGAGTTATACTTAAGATGTCATTGTTGCCTTTCAGTGGCCTGGTGTGCTCTTTAAATTCTTGACCTTGGAAACTTTCTTCATTCAGTTTGTACTGCTGGATCATGGTCCCCATCCCACCATCTAACACCATAATCCTCTTCTTAAGAATGGCTTCAATCTCATCCTTCAGGGTTTTCTTCATCTCTCCTTTAAAGAAAATAAAAACTGACTTCAAAAAATGAAGAAGGAAGCTATGTGGGGGATGAAGGTTAAGTGGTAGACTCATGTGTAAGACCACTGTGTTTGCCCCAGCACCACAAAGAGAAAAAAAGGTAAGGAGCAGGGAGCAAAGGATTAGGAGAGATAAAGGAAACATGGAAGGGAAATTCAGAGTAAGTAGAGCTTATGAACAACCAAGCCTCATCCTTTCAGCACCTCCAGCATCTGCTGACTCGGCCTCTGCTCTACTGCAGCACCAAGTCCTTCTCATCCTTTTCACTCGACAAGTGATTAACCTAATCCTGTGCAAATGTCTTCTGTTGGAAGCACCTCAAGTTCCTCCTGAGGCTGGGGGTTCTTTCCTTGTCCATGTACCTATGATGATGCGAATGTAAAATGTACTAAAAACATCAGGCATCTGAACACCTGGTCCCAGTTGGTGGTGCCGTTAGGGGAGGTTTAGGAGAGGCTGCCTTGCTGCAGTTAGTATGTCACTGGGGATGGGCTTTGAGAGTACAGAGTCACACCCCTTTCTCTGCGTTCTGCTTGTGGCTCCTGCAGCAATGCCTGTCACTTGCTGTCACGCCTCCCCACCACAATGGACTCATCATAACCCTTCCTTCTGTATGCATGCAACAGTAATAACAGAGTACCAACAGAGTGCATGCTCAGTGATACCCCAATACTTCCCATGGCCCCCAATCTACTCCTGCTCACCTCCAACATGCAGATTCTTCACCTTCCTGATACAGTTTCCTCTTCGGTCACTCTTCAAAAATTACTTTCTACAGTCAACAATAACCTACTAGTTACTGAAAACACGATTCTAAGGCCCAAGTTTCAAACTACCCACCTGACATCTTCTCACAGAATACCCAACAGCTTCTCATTCTGATTTTCAAAACCAATCTTGCTGGATTGTCTCACTTCCTTATTTCTGTGAATGACAATGTCCTTTCCAGAAATGTAAACTCCAAATCTCAATGATATCTGGCTCTTCTTCTCACTGAAAACAACCACCTGTCTATTAGGATCACGAGCTCTACCAGTGTGGCCTCTACAATAAATCCCACTACACCAAGCACACTCTACTAGTGAGATCCAATCTTAGTCCTCTTCAGGAAGGGCACTTCCATAACCTGAAAAACAACCTAGCTAAGTGTAGATAATAAACTTGTTTTGTTTCTAGAAACAAAAAAAAAAGGTCTCAAGCAGCCCAAACTCACTATGTAGGTACCTCAAATTCCTGACCTGCTGCCTCTCTCTCCCAAATGCTGGGATTTACACATGTGCCACCATATTTGGCTATATTCACTGAAAGTGATAAAACACTTTCTAAGAACAAAGTTACAATCCTGTGAGCCAACCAAAAGAAATCACTACATGAAAATACAAAGGAAAAGTAAGGCTGAATTAAGCCTATCTAATAAATGATAGGAAATAGCCCAGTCATTCCAGGTTATAATCATAGCAAATTCAGATGTAGTACCACTTTGGCAATCTCCCAATGTCGATGTCCCATCAACTAGTAAGTACTGACTCTGGTATGATTAAACTAAAAATAGCAAGGTGACAAAAGCCAAGTCATCTGGGTTTTAGTCTCAGCTCCCCTAAGCAACTATAGGATTTTGGATAAGTCTTCCCCGGTTCAGTAAATTGGAAAAATATCATCCCTGCCTTCATCAACAAAACTGTTTATAAAAGATTGTGTGGTAACAAGGAACCTCTGAAGTAACATGTCATTAAATGAGACATCTAAGCTTGATGTAAAATAAACATTTGTTAATTATTCCTACTATCATACTACTATTATCACGAACTCTAAAGGCTTTCTATTAACAAGGCCAAAGCTATTAAAAAGTAGTATCTAAGAAAGACGTATCTAAAGGTTTATTTTCTGGTTTGGAAATGAACATCAATCTCATAGAACGAAAACAAAAGTCTGTGGAAACAACTAAAACATATTCCAAATGAGAAAAAAGAGGACCAAAAACCTTATCTATGTCCCCGATGGATGATGGATAAAGTTGTAATTCACCCTACAATGAGACCATATGAGCACTGGGTGTGACACATTCTGGGATCTTGTTTGTTGAATCACATGTATACAGCTAAGCATGAGACCACATGTACATGTTTTTTTAAAAACTAACCATAATATGAGGGAGGGTTGTGTGCTTTTGTTATGTTTACTTGGTAAATTTGTTCTATAACTTATATGGAAAACTTCTATGACGTTCAGAAGCAAAAAGATAAAGACTTCAAGCCTATTCTTGGCTATATAGTGAGTTCAGAGGACAGCCTTGGCTGTATTAGACCCTTTCTCAAAACAAACAACAGCAAAATCCAAGTCTGCATCATCTATATGCTTATTATCCTTAAAGAACAATGTACAGTTCATCACTTAGAGAACCTAAGAGGTCTTCCTCCAGAAGCCTTAGCCTAAGCACACAATGATTTTTCTAGTAGGCGGTTATCTTTTACGAGGTCTAATTACTATTATAGTTGAGCATTTCTAATTGCCATTAGAATCTTGTCTTAAGAGTAAATCCCCTTGGGTCAGTGAAAAGGCTCCACAAAAGTGTAAAAGTAAGTTTACACTTACTGTGTAAACTTGTTGACCTGAGTTCAATCTCCAGATTTCCCACAGTGGGAGGAAAAAACAGACCTCCTGAGACCACGACCAACACGTGTAAACCAGCACACGTGAATGACATCCCCCATACATACAAACATTAAGACTTAAGCAAAATCTAAAAATTAAATTCTCTTGATGATTATCCTTTCCCTTAACATAGTGGGTACTCACCAAAACTTTACTCTTCTGTAGATCTAGAATATTCTGTATGTTTTACAACTGACTAGGCTAATTCTATATTTGATCTTGACCAAAAGTGACAACTACTCTGATTCTAAGTAGAACACATCTTTTAGGGTAAGTAAAAGAAAACATGATTTCATAGTATCTCTTCGCAGATGATCAGAAATTGTTTTCTGTTTAGTATCTAGTAACTGTTGTATAGAAAAAAAAATACCAAGAACTGTCCTGGTGAATAAGCCCAACAAGATCACACAGTATTTTCCCCAGTTTGAGTGGCTCCCACATCATTTTGGGATTTAGGGTTTTTTGTTTTGTTTTTGTTTGATTGGTTGATTTCTTTTTGGTTTTGTTTTTTTTCCTTTTCCTGGCGACTTTTTTTTTTTAAACCAGTGCCATTTAAATTCACAGCAAACATTCAAAAGGATAAATGTAGGACTGGTTAGGGCACCTATCAGAGCTGAAAGGTGCACCAGTCAAGCGGCACCTGAGAACTATTCTTAAAGCCTGGGGATACCGCTCAGGGTAATCACTGGCCTAGCATGTACAAAGCATTACAGCAGATCCCCCGCATCCCCAGCCGCAAACAAATGAACGCCAAGCAACTCAAAGAGTAAGATGAAGATATAAGACAGTTTCTAATAAGCGAATATAAGCGGCAAGCTCTAGAGAGAGAACAGCCCTAACGTGGGTCTGCAGTAACACGTCCCTTTGTACAGAGCGAAATGGAGTAGGGTAAAGAATACTTTACTTTTCTACACCATAAGCAAACGACCTCAGTGCTTTCCACCAGTTTCCCACTTTAGCTCTTTTAGTGATCTGCCCCACAAGCCCCTTGCAGGATACTACTTTATTTGGAGCCGCTAATCTCTAGTTTAACTGATCTGCTAGACTTTGCAAGCATCTATATACATATTATCTCATTCTTGAAATACATTTCTTTCTCCCACCAGTATTTAAGACCCAGGAAACGACAGGGCTGCTATCAAGTCACTGGCTCGTTTATTCATTCTTCCATTAATCATTCATTAGCTAAATTCCTAAAAACATGCAAGGATGAAACCAAGAAGCTTCTAGTGAGAAGCTGTAGTTGAAACTTTCTCATACAAAATTCCTGCTGGCCCACAAGTCTCCTTCCCCCAAGAGACACAATCAGGGATTAAGGTTACTCCCCCCTCCCCCGCCCCGCCCACCTGTTGGAAGGATTCACTCTTGGGTTTGACACTTACAAGGCAAGCATTCCACCACTAAGCAGACACAGCTCAGGACACATTCAGCTTTCAGGCTCAACCTTTAAAGATCAAGAATCTTAGGTCTTGGGTGGTGGTGGCGCAAGCCTTTAATCCCAGCACTCGGGAGGCAGAGGCAGGAAGATCTCTGTGAGTTCAAGGCCAGCCTGGTCTAGAAGAGCTAGTTCCAGAACAGACTCCAAAGTTACACTGAGAAACCCTGTCTCAAAAAAGTCAAAAATAGATAGATAGATAGATAGATAAAATAAACAACCTGTAACCTGGTGCGGGAGAATTGTCTGTATTCTGTCAATCATGTATTTTAATAAAACGCTGATTGGCCAGGCAGGAAGTAGAGGCAGGTCAACCAGACAGGAAGCAGAGGCGGGGCAATGAGAATAGGAGAAGGCTAGGGAGGAGGAAGCTCCCTCCACCACTCCTGCCCAGATCACCGAAGAAGCAACATATGAGCTGACAGCTGAAAAAGGTACCAAGCCATATGCCTAATGTAGATAAGGATAATGGGGTAATATATGTTATAAGAGCTAATAAGTAGCCAGAGCTAAGGGCCAATCAGTTTATAACCTAATGTAGACTCTGTGTGGATTTCTTTGGAACTTGCCGGTTGTGGGGTACCGGGTGGGACACATACCCCAACAAGCCGGCCCCTCATGTTACAGTAACACAGGCTGGCCTTGAACTCACTATGCAACAGAGAATAGCTTTTAACTTCAAATCCTACTTCCACTAATTTTATGCAGAGATGTAATTAATTAAACCAGGGCTTCCTGCCTGCTGAGTAAACACAACCTCGGAAGTCCTTACTGCTAATTCGCACACACCTCCCATGTGCTATAGGAATTTCTGCCTAAATTTTTAAGAATGCAGAATTAAAGTTATATTCCCTTTGTGCCTTTTCTCATTGTGGAAGCCGGTGCCATCAACATCAGAATCATTTGCGATTACTATCCCACCGCCTAGTCCTACCCCTAGGTACTAGGAGTCCGGTCAGCCCACGGTCAAGCTAACGCTGGAGTTTGCCGAAGGAAAGAGTAGAAAAAGAAACTTTAAAACCACGTGGTTCAACTACCTAGGCTGCCTTAGCAGCCTCCTAGCATCTTAACTAGGGCAGACAGCGTTGGGTAAATATTTACTGAATACGGGCGTCGCATCATACAGACGTCCCCCCGGGGCCCACTGGAACCCGCTAAAGGCAACGCTCGCCGTTCCGGAACAGAGCGCACGTAGACGGAGAAGGACCCAAAAAGGACCGCGGCCCCGCTCACCCCTTCCCCCACCCCCGGCTGCGTCTCCGGAGGGAGAAGCACCTGAGGAGCTGAGGCTCCGACGGATCCGCTCGACCTGGGTGGAGGCGTTACCGGGTTGCGACAACGCAGGCGACACGCCACCGCCCAGCGTCCACCTCAAGCAGGGAAGGCGTGATCTCCAGAGAATTCCACCGCGGGCGGCTCCAGCCAGCGCTGACTGGCCTGACGAACTGACCCACGAGAACCAGGAGCCTGAAACTCCAGAGCCGACACGCGGGGCCTCCGGGTGCGCGCCGCGGGCACGCGCCTCTTACGGAACTCTCAAGCGCAGAGCTCGCGGTCACCCGCGCGCGACCGCAAGGAAACAGTTCAGGGAAGGACGACGTGGAAATGGCCACACGCAGCTACCGACCTCGGTTACAGCCCCGTTAGGTCTAGGCTCAAGCTAGGCTCCCGCGGGAGGGCCCGCCCGGGCCCGCCCCCTCCGCGGCATGTGGTTGGTCTTTACCCGCTCCTCGCCGTTGTGTATAGGCTGTTGGTCGCAACCAATCGTCGGAGGCTTTGCTCCATGGTCCTATGGGAAATGTAGTCCTGAGTACTGGATCCCTAGGGAGCTCTGAGTTTATTTTTTCTGGGTTCGGAAAGTGTCTCGCAAAGGGGCCTCCAAGTTCTAGTGCAGGGATCCATACTGTGGTGTTGGCCTGTGCCAGTGGTACAGTATCAAGGACCAGAACCTGAAGTCAGAAAATTAACTGTAGGCCGGACGGTGGTGGCCCACATCTTTAATCCCAGCTCACTGGAGGCAGAGGTAGGTGGATCTCTGTGAGTTCAAGGCCAGTCTGGTCTACAGAGCAAGTTCCAGGACACGCTCCAAAGCTAAACAGAGGAGCACTGTCTCGAAAAACAAACAAACAAACAAAAAATTAATTGTAGCTTAGTTTTGCTGACACTAAATATTTTGTCTCCCTCATACACAGAAAAGAAATACTAGAACGGAAGTGACTATTAGTTTACAGGATTACAACAAGGATTAAAATATGATCCTGTAAGTGCATCCGGTTCAATATAGACTCTTCCAGATGCCTCTGGCTGAATTCTCCCTCATATCTACAATAAAACTTCCTCAACCATACTTTGGAGTGGCCATGTTCTTATTTTTCATCCATAAATCATCTTGATTTATGACTTTGTTTTATTCACTATAAACTTATCTATATGCTTTGAATGATAAGTGATAATTGGAGAATTAGTCTTTATACTCTCAGCAAAATCTTCTGTTATCCCAGGTCTTCTATGTCTCTTTCATTCTTTCCTAGCTACTCCCTTCCAAGGCTGGTCACCTCTGGTAAGGTGTGAAAAAACCAGTCTGTGAGCTCAAGAAAACCACCACACAGCCCAAAGTATTTCAGCAAGGCAAAGAGTTTTATTTCCGTATGATTTTTTTCTGTTATTTATTCTGTATTGTTTATTTCTGCATTTTCTTGTGTATGTGCGTGTAACTACATTTAAGACATCAAGCATACCCAGGGAGTAAGCACCTACTGGGTTTTTAATCCTAACACAAGGTGGCTTTATGTTCTTGTGAACTTGGTTAATTTCAAATTACTCAGTTAATAAGAAGAATGCATTTTTGAGCATAGAGTGCAACCTTGAGCACATGTTTTGATTTCAAGAAGTGCTGACCCTGGAAAAACCTGATTTTTCTGCCAAGTAGCTTATTAACAATTTCTAAAAAATACTTTGTCAACTGGGTGTAGTGGCCTTGCTTCCAGTTCCAGCACTCGGGAGACAGGGCCGTTGGGTCTCTGTGGATTAGATGACAAGCTGTATAAAAAGTTCTTTGCAGGGCAGGGTCACACACAGTGAGACTATCTCAGCAAAAAAACCAAACAAACAGAAAATGGAGTTTGTCTTTACTTAACCCCTCTGACAGAAAGGACGGTCTAGGAACTAAAATGATGGCCCGGTGTTTAAGAACACTTGCTGGTCTTACAGAAGTCCTGGAATTGGTTCTCCCACCCACTTTCAGCAGCTCATGACCACTCGCACCTCCAGTTCCAGCAGATCTGATACTCTCCTTTGGCCTCCAATGAAGTTGATAATAAAATAAATAAAAAATAAAAGGAGAAAACACAATACATTTTGTTTACATTTCCCACATAAGGATGCTATATATTGTACATTTTACTACAATTCTATATATTATATTCATCATTATACATTTCAAAGATTTTTATTTTATGTATAGGAATATGTGCTTACACATGTGTATATATACCATGTGCATGAAGGTACCTAAGGAGGCCAGAAGATGGCACTGTATCCCTTGGAATTGGGGTTACAGCGGGGTTGTGAGCCATCATGTGGGTAATGGGAACTGAATTTGGTCCTCTGCAAGAGAAGTCAGTGCTTTTAAGTGCTGAGCCATCACTTCAACATAGATTATAAATTTTAAAGTTTGCCAGTTGGGTCAGGGGTAGGTGGCTTATACCTATAATGTCAATACTTGGAAAGCTGAGGCAGAAACTTGCCTGTTTGAAGCTAGCCTGGGCTACTAAACAGTCTGTGCTATAATGTGAGACCTCCTCTCAAAAAACAAAACAAACAAACCAAAATTAGATACAGTAACTTGGGAATATTATGCTTTCTCTCCTTCCATGAACAGTCTTGCTATGTAGCCCAGACTAGGCTGGAACTCATAATCTTACTGCCTCATTCTTTTAGTGCTAGGAATCTGGGCCTTTATCACCACCCCTGCACCCCAGTCCTGTAACCCCCACCCCTGTACCAACTACTCCTGGATCCATGTATCTTTTTATTTTTCTAGAATAAAATGCTTTATTTCTAATGATTCCTGAGTGATTTGTATAGAAACAACAATTTTCTCTTCAAGTCACATGATACCTTCTTGCACTACATAGAGCAGGTCAAGTGCCCTATCATGTTGTAGAACTCTTTCAGCTAATGAATCTACCTGTTGATAGATCTGGGCCTCTTTTTTGTTTGTTTGTTTTGTTTGACCTATTTGGATTTAATCTTTCTGTTGGTCCTGTGCAGGTTAAGGTTTCTTTTTGTAGCTACAAAAAGGTTCCTGTGTGTCCTGTGTTAAATCCTTGCAAAAGTTAAAGAATAACTTCCTGTTTACCCTGTGTTGTTAAATACTTGCAAGTTAAGGTCTCTAGATGTAATTAAGACTAAGTTCCTGTTTCTTTGATCTGATGTAAACTGCAAAACATGTTTTCAATAAACTGCGACCCCATTCACCTGATGTATATCCTTACCCTTGTTCCTTCCCTTTTGTATCTTTCCAACAATATAGAACTGTGAATACCTTATCTCTCCTATAAAAAGTATGAGATCAGCAGGGGCTGCTCTCTAAAATCCCAACTTAGGGAAAGACAGCAAGCCAGACTGGCCAAAATAAAGCTTGCTTCAGTTGGACTATGGTGGATTTTGTCTTTCTCCTTCAAATTTTCTAGTTTAACAGTCAGAGGCTATCAGTTGGTACTCTTAGTCTTTGGGTAATGGAAGCCAGTGTTTGATTAGATTAATACTGTCCAAAAGGTTTTTAACCTTTATTCATAGGATGTTAGGTCCAACGCACAGACTGGCTATGAATGGCTATTTAGAAGGCTAAAATAGGCAGGGTGGTGGTAGGGCATGCCTTTAATCCCAGCACTTGGGAGGCAAAGACAGGTGGAAGCCCGAGGTCAAAGCCAGCATGGTCTACAGAGCAAGTTGCAGGTCAGCCAGGCCTACACAGAGAAACCCAGTGTTGTTTTTATCTAAATTTTTCTATTTACCAAAAAAGACTCAGGAGTCAGATGTTGGGATGAAAACCTGCTAGATCAGAGAAGCCAAGAAACAACCAGCAGACCTTCCTTTTCATCCAGAGACTCAGCAAGGGAGTGTCTCTCTACCTGTTCCAAAGCAGAGAGGTTTATTTGGGAACAGGGTAGTAGCCCTTCAAAAGAGTAAAGGAGTTAGAAAAACAGACAGACATTTCTGTGAAGCAGGAATCTTGAAGAACCGGCCTACCTTAGTGAAGTTTGATGATTAACTTCCTTTGTGTCCTGCTTGCACAATTTGGAAATCATACTGTCAGCAGTCGAGGCAAGGGCAGCTTTTTACCCAGTGTTTAACTTTGTCCCAGTGAAAGCAAACTCCATATAGAGGTTCTCCAATACCCATCATCTTCTCTGAAGTAGATTGATGCTGGCAAGAGAAGACCTATCTCACTGTCATGAAAAGTCTTATGTTATTAAGGCATCTTAAATGCCATATTCTATAGATCTCTGAAGTGTTTGAAGACCAGCTATCTAAAATATATCTGTTTGATATTAAAAACAATAATATTCTACAAGTTTGATTTTTATCTTAATTATCCTAATCAGTTTCTAATAGTAGCTTTCAAGAACTAGAAGTTTACAATGCAATTTTAAAATGAGTTGCATGGGTATAATGCCTTACAATATATTGTAACAAAAGTAACCTTATTTTATATCAACATATAAAAATCCATGCCAATGTAAAATATTTGAGATTAGTACTTGCTTTTTAGTCTAAAAGTAGATTCAATAATATACCCTTTTATCCTATCATTTCTATTTTCCACTTCTTTGTTAGATCCCTGAATCTAACTTCCTTTGCTTAATTTCCTCTGACCATTACCAATAACAACTTGCAACTAACCTCCCAAAACAATGGCAGATATCCATAACCCACTGAACAACCAAAAACCACCTACCCCATATCTCGGGAATGTGGACATTATATACTTAAAAATACTTCCTGTTGCCTGGGGGTGACAGCATCTTTATGGGTCCCTGAGAAAATTGGGACAATGGTCAAGTCCTGGGAGAGCTAGCTGTATCATTTGTTGTCCAGTCTCTGCGTGATAGGGAAGTGCAAGGCTTATCTGAAGTCCAGACTGGAGTAGTCTTTGAGACTGGACCATCTTAGCTAACTGCTTTAAAGTTGTCCTGAGCAGTTTGTAGTCAGAAACTGGTCTTTGAGTGGTGTTTGTCAGCTTAATGTAATAACTACAGTCCAAGTTAATTTGTTGTTGCAGAAACCCATCATTTTTTTTTTTGGAGACTTCAAAGATTGTTGTTAGGAATGGTCACAGGTCACTGCAGAAAACTTAAGCATTTTCATCGTCATATGCATCAGATCCCCTAAAGGTTAGACGACCATAACCTATTAAGCACATCTGAGGTACACAAACTTAGTTCCCAATTGCCTGCTTCAGACTCAAACCTGAAAACACGAGCAGGAAGCTAAATGAAGTTTTTTCTAAAATTAGTAAATACTCTGTGTGACTGTTAGGATCCTGACAGAAAGATTACATACATACATAGTTTTATTATAGATTTTGAGATAATATTTCTATCTTAAGAAAAGCTTTAAAGAGTTAAAATAAAAGGATTATGAGATTAATGGCAATAGAATA